TTTCCTCAACGAAGCTGCCCACATACTGCAGGAGGAGGAGGGAGAGGGGCCGACGGTGACAGCACGGAAACAGTATGGTCGCGGCTACGCACGGCAACAAATCCACATCTAAGCCCGTTTAGATTGTCGGGTCACGGTGGGTTCAGGTTGTGTAAAATGAAGGTAATGGGATGGCAGTGGGCACGACTGCAGAAACACAGGCCGGCAGGTAATAAGAATGAATGGAGAGAGGTAATAAGGTTGAGATAGTAACAGAGGCAGAGTCATGACAGGACGAGAAGTGTTTAAGCTGCTGCACAGTTTCAGTTCAAAGGTTGAGCGCTGATCGCACACAAACACGCGAGTCTAACTGTGACTTCCTTTTTTTTAGATTCTTATAACTTTCCATGCATGGCAAAAAAACATAAACAATATAAAAAACTCATCAAGATTCAAAACTGTCAGATCTAAAAATAAACATCTTTCTTTTGTGGTTGTATAAACAACACAAGGTCAAACGGAGGTGTTTCTATCTGGACTGAAACATAAACATAAATATGCAAAACCTCAATAATGATGATTTCAATGATAAAAGACCACAACTGTCCATAACCAAGCCTAGTAACCATATGTGGCACTTAATGAGGCCCACTGTTTCACTACATCAGTACTACATGTGGACTTCATGCCATTGTATTTCTCAATACTATTTTGTACAATTTCCAGGGTATTTCTGTCATAATTTCTAAATATCTCTAAGCAAACTGTAAGGTATTATGGAGTAACTTTTACTTTTCTTTTTGCTCAGATAAGGTCAGTAGATAAAGTTGAAGAGACATGAAAAACGCAGGTGGGAATATGGCAGTAAAGCAACAAAAAGATTTTCAAATCTTTAAACAGCCAAAGCAGAACAAGGGGGAGTTTTTTATCTGCTAACTTTTAGCTTAAGCACAAAACTGACTTACTGTCACAATTACAATCATAAAATATATTGTAAGTCAGGTTTTCTGCCTAATGAGTATTGGCAAATATTTTAAAGAAATGCATTTAAAACCAAGGTGTTTGCAAATGTAACCTTTTTTTTTTACATTTTAACCATTTAGGTTTAAAGGTAAGGTAATGCATGCACTATGTAAGTAACACTTCTTCTTCTTGATTATATTGTTTAACTTTTATTTTATGACTTCTCAGCCATTGTAATGAGGGGTTTTTTATTTTATTATTCTATTCTAGTATTATATTCTACAGTATTCCATTTTATAAATAATTAAAATCAGTATTTAAAGAGTAGAGCTGGAACACTTGACTGAACGATTGTACCTTAAAAACACATTTTTGATCCTGAGTTAGCCAAAATGATTTTAAGCGTCATGATTGGGAATTTTTCTTCTTTTTATATCTAAATTGATGGTAAATGTAATGTCTTCATAAATATTTTAGTAGAAATTAAATTCAGTGTTGGGTTAAAGGACTGTGGAAAATGATGGTTCCCTCATTTCTGACATTTATGAAACCAAATGAGTCATTGATTCATTCAGAAAATCACCGTAGATTGATTAACTGATTAACTGTGGGAATAATTAACTACGGCACCGCTTACGTCACCAACAGAGGGAGCCGGGCTGTAAGGACAGGATTAATTCATCAACGAATCCTCTGACAATACATCTGTAACTTTTTAAGAATAAGACACTAACTCTAGATGCTAAAATAAGAGTCGCAGTCGGGAACAGTTGAAAAAATAAAACAAATAAAAAGGAGACACAAAGATGGAAGCGTGAACCACTATGACTCATTTCACCTCGCTGCTGTGGCGAGAAGCAGGATGTTGAGTAAGCGATCAAGTACTTAGCTATTCTTATCCTCAACACTCAGACAATGAGAATTCTGACCACACTGATGTTTTCAAACTAAGAAATCCATATGACCGAATGGAAAGTAGACTGTGAACAGACACAAAATCAGAAAAATTAATATTTTGACTGATCACTTCACGGCAGCTCCACATGCACAACAGTTCTGCTCCTGAATGTTTTCGATGGACCTCCTCAGACATGAGTTAAAAAAAACATTTGAATGTCCATTCGGTCTTGTCTACCTGGATTTGCAGATGAGCCAGAACATTATCTATAGCTAACTCTTAGATTGTTTTTTAGTTATCTTTTAGCTATTCGTCTTATTTAATGGTATTACCTGCTCATTTCTCGCCTCGTCCATATTTGTTTGTGACAGTCGATTTACAAAGGTAGCTTTGTTGCAACATGTTGTGCTAATCTTTGAGTAAACGTTAATTGTATTTCATGTGTAACATATCAGTTTGGGTACTGATGTTTTCTTTTTTTTTCTTTTTTTATCTAAATCACATTGTTTGTTTCATTCCATTTTTATGCACTACTGTAAACTTAAGCGCTCATGAGACTGACACCAGTACTGCCCCAGTAGAATCAATGTCAACTTGTCAAACAGTGGATTTTAGTTTGAGTACACATCTTACTTCTTACAGTAGTACTTGTCTCCATCTTCATACATTATGGGAAAAGAAAAAATTTCTACTTCAACTGTGATCCTTTACCTCACGGTTTGTACCTTAATTTCTGCGTAAACTGACAGCTACCGTTTTGCCTCATGAGGATAATTACTAATTGTAATCATATTGAAATTCTGGACCTTGTTGCATGGGGAAAAAAATGCACAAATTCAACAGCATTTGTTTTTCCCAACATAGTAAACTTCTTCTGCTCATTATATTCACTAACTCACTTTAATCAAACAATAACCAAGCTGGTGGCAACACAGACTACGACTGTATACAACTCCACTGCTGAAGGAAGACAGGGAAACCAAGGAGGACGAGGGAGATAAGATACAGAAAACTAATTAAATTATTTGCAGTAATTATATTATTCAATATATTTTCATATCCCCAAACATGCAATGGATTTTGTTGTCGCTGTATGTATACTGGACTGGTTCATATGTGAAAGAATGTCTTATCATGTCTGTGTGTGTGCTTGTGTCTGTATGTGTGGGTGTGTAAGTGTGTGTCTGAGTATGTGTGGAGCAGGAGTTTAGGTCCGCTGAGGCTTGGACCACTGGGCATGAATAATACATGAGGACTGGGCCGTTGCGTTCGGCAACATTGCTCTGGTCTGCCTTAAGTTCCTAGTTCCTCCTTGGGAAGGAGTTCCAAGCAGCAGCAGCAGCAGCAGCAGCATTAGCGGTGGCGGCAGCAGCAGCCTAGAAACAGCTACTGCAGTAACTCTGCTGGAATCTTCAACAACACCAAAAAATCCTCACAAAGTCATTTAACCTGGTGCTTCTTGAACTTTTATTGTGTGATAACTTTCCGATTGACAATCAATTGCCATTAAAACTGCATTATTATTATTATTGGGGTTTTGAGGACGTTATTTTAAGTATGTATAAGATTTTTTCAAAAAAGAAAAATATTTTCTGGCCTACTGTATGTTTGTTACATGTCCTATGTAAGCCAGTTTAAAGATTTTTTTTGTAAAAATGCATTTGGATTTTTGCGCAGACTAGGACTGTAAAATATAAAATAAAATAAATAATAATGATAAAATTATGTATTTTTAATTACTTAATCAGCTTTTTGTCTTGTCTTTGTGGCTGAATAAAGAATTTGCCATATTTTAGTAGCAAACATGGTATTACTATGTCACCCAGTGACAGTACATTACAGATTAGAATGTTTCTTTATTCCTCAGCATTGCTTTAGATCTTTTTCACAGACAAACATTGATACAAAAATATATAAATAACTGAAAAATGTTTGGCTTCCCCGATGACCTTTTACTGATCAATAAAAACTTCCACACTATTATTATTATCAATCAATAAACCGAACCATCCGTGAGCACTAACTGTATCATTACGTTTTACAGGTGTGCCTCCGCCTGCACCGTATCTGTCAACGTGACGCGTGGAATGAACTTTTTAATCTGCAAATTTACACACCTGTGATCAGAGAACAGATGCCGAGGACAGATGTTGACTGTTCAAGTCCCACTGGGATCAGCCTGCACACGCTCCAGTCTGAGAGACTCATTGGACTGTCAGCCAAAGTGACACCAAGTTTAGTTCAGTTCACCTGGTGCACTTGGTCACATTTCATTCTATACATCTAACTCACTGCTGCTGATTAAAGTTCAACCAAACATACAGTGTTGATGATGATGATGATGAAGAATTATATTTCAACGTTTTTAATGCCTGACACATTTTAGACCGTAAAGTCCACATACTGATATACTTGTTACGGTTCTGTTGGACTTTAACTGCTGCACTGAGTAACAATTATGCAAGCATGTATAAAAACTGAAGGGCAAGCAAGGGAAAAGGTGACTTTGCCTCAGCCTTAATTAGATAATAATAAACTTTACTGATGCCTTTTCTATATGAATATATCACTGTATGAAAGGACAATAATTTAATTCATTAATTAATTTCATTTAATTTAAATTATCATGAATAACCTTCAAATGCGATTCATAAAAACTAAGTTAAAGTTACCTTGGTCCTTATTAGCATCGGTAAACTGGCCAATTTTATTAGTTTGGGACAAGCTACACAGTAGTTTAATCTAGTTCCGTCCACATCTGAGTAATATGATGCCCTGGTCTCTAATTTACGCATGCTAATTGGCCACGTGAAGGCAACACTTCTGCAAGTCAAATTAAACTTAATTGGCCACGTGAACGCATCACTTCTATAAATCAAATTAAACTCAAGTTGGATGCCGGGTTTAAAACATGATTATTTTCCATTCCGCTAAATTTAGATACATTATTTGACAGCGCATCCATGTGTACTTTCAGCACTGGAATGTTTGGCACTTTGGCATCACATCCATATCATCCCGGACCGCCGTGCGTCTATCTCCTAAGTCCAACAACAACACCCCTGCCTGTATCCCTCCACCTAACCTTCATAAGACTACATGCACGGGCACGGAGACCCAGACCGGACCGTGCCTTCCACCTCCTCCCGTTTCCCCTCACCTCTGTGCGCGCCTGCAGCCGCTTGTTCATCTCGTAGATCCGGTACTCGGGCTGGACCATGTAGGGCGAGTGTCTCCGGTAGAAGGGTCCGAACGGGGACGAGTAGAAGGGGTCGTGGGTTGGATTGGACATGGTGTTTCCTGGTGAGGCGCACGGCGCGATCTCAACATCCAGCGGAGGCGAGTGCGGCAGCGCACATGGGAGTGCGATGCTCCTACTGAAGACCCCAGTGAGTGGGAAGCGGCCGCTGCCGAGGCTGAGCTGCACTCTGTGAGTTGGCCTGCCGAGTTCCAGGCTATAGCCAGAGGAGGAGGAGGAGGAAACGAGGGGAGGAGGAGGAGGAGGAGGAGAGTGGGAGGAAGGGAAGGATGTTAGTGGTAGTGCTGGTGGAGGAGGAGGTGGTGGTTGTGGAGGGGCACAATTGCAGGGGGAGGAGTGGGGAGTCGTTTCCTGCTCCCTTAAGACCTGCACTCAGTTTTGCATTCTTGCAAAGTTCAAGTCAGATCGTGTCGTGCACGTACGTGTGCACAAGTTGCACGTTGGTTTGTGTTTGTGTATTTATATGTGTATTTTTATGTGTATATATATAAACATATATGTATACAGAAATACACATGTGTATTTATACACAAACATTTATATAAATACTTGAAGATTTATGCATATTTACTGCAGCAAAGTTGCTACTTTTTTTCTTAATTATCAAATTTAAAGTGCCCTAAAATGAATCATTCACATGAATCCAACATGTTGTGACAACAGATTAATAGAGGCAGATGATGTTACCTTTCAGTCAGAGCAGAAAACATTCTGCACATAGCGTCCCCACTCCATCTCTCCATTAGTTTGGGAGTCCTTGGACCAAAGAAGAACGTAGACCACTGATGTACTGTAGGGTTAGAAAATAAAAGTCTTTCTAAATACCTTTTTAATGGCTTATATGCAGTACACATAAACAGGGATTTAAAACACATAAACATACTAGCCAACTGGATGCTAGTCTGCAATTAACCTAATTATTTGGAGATGTTACAGCTGGACTTTGTGCAGTTTCATTTTTCATATATATACAGTATATATATATATATATATAGCACTCGGTCTATAGCACTCATACCACAGTTGGTGCTAAACCAATACTGTTTTGAAACATTCACTCAGCAGATTCAAGCTAAAATACATACTTATAACATAACAAATACGGTCATTTTATCGTTCGTTTCTGTAGGTAAACCAAGCCTGTAAGAAGGGGTGAAGAAGAAATAGGGAACAGGAAAGGAAAAAGGGAAGAGATTCATAAACAGAAGGAAAGAAAGAGTGAGGAAGAGAGAGAGTAAAATATTGGGGGAGTGAAATATTCTGACCGCTACACATTAATACACGGAGCAGAGCTGCAGCAGAGCCGTCTCAGAGCTGCTCTTGTGCAACGCTGTATGTGGTGATGTGCACGAAACAGCAGCTCGTGGAAGCAGCACTGCCACTGATATTTGTGCTGTGACCTGGTTGGGTAGAAACTGAAAGTAACTGAATCTGTGCCACTCTGGTACCAAGTTTCATGGTTAACTGTCCATAGATGCAGATCATAGGTCTGTGGTACAAAGAGGCCAGCTCTGGGTTCATTTAAATAAGGAAAAAAGTGGTAAAAACGACAGTTGTTTTTTTCTAGTACAAGACGATGAAGTATGAAATACACCACTATGTACTGGATCTTGTATTTTCTGAAAGACCTGACCTACATTTAAACAATAATATTCTGTGAAATTACAGAAGAGTTATCATAGACCTCCATCTACAGAGGTGTCCACACTCTTTTGGCTTGGCTACTGTTTACAAGGCCAGGCTAAAATGTCTATTTACATTTAAAACATTAAATATATATATTGAGTCATATAACCTAAAAATAGTTTATACATAATATGCAATATATTTTGGGGTACTGATCAAATGCATGTAGCGCTATGGTAGAATATGTTATAAATATAACAATCTATAGTCAGTACTATACAGTATAGAATTATATTTATATTTCTTTTTTTTTCCTTTTTTTCATTTTCATGATCTACTGGCAGATCCTGTTTGACTATATCATGCAATTTTTACTACTAGCTGACTTTAATTTATACAACATATAATGTTTATCATATCACCTTTGGTTATTTATCATATTGCCAGGAGGAAATTAGTAAACCTACAGACACAGGTTACAATTTCAAACTCTAAATCCTTTTTTTATCAGGAGCATGTGTTTGTGGCGACCTCAGGTCTTCAGGTCAGATGCGAGCCTTGCATCAGACCAGCCTCACTGAGCGCAAGAGAGTAAGTCAGTCTACAAATGACAACAGTCAACTGTAGGCTGTTCAATGTTGGTGAGGACAAAGGCTTCAGTGAAGTTTAGAACATAATCCTGGACGTGTTCTACTCTGAGATAGCTCTAAGATGCTGTTACTAAGATCCACCAACTCTATGAAGAAAACAGAGATTTTTCCTCATCAATTCTTCCATTATTCAGATTAGTCAAACATAAACAGACTAAGACTGTCCATGGCAGCCATACATATACAACAAGGCTTCTTTGTCATATTTTGTAATATTATTTTATCATGACTAGTCGTGATAAATAACATTAATCAAGATTAATCGCAGTTAATCCACAGCTTCCATGTGATTAATCATCATTAATCAAGATTAATCACAGTTAATCCACAGCTTCCATGTGATTAATCAGACTGAAAATGTTAATAGTTTGACAGCCATTGTTTCCAACAAATGAAATGACACAATTTTAACAAATCCCACTGTACTGCGTTAGTACGTTGTTGAATGTTTGACCCCTTTACTGGAGTGCAGTGAAGAACACGCTACCTACACCCATTAAAATGTCCTCCACGTTCTCCTCTGTGACAGATTAGGGGCTGCGCTGTTAAAGTAGCCACAAGAATCTGAAAAATAATAAATAGCCACTCAGACCAAGCATAACGTTGCAAAAGAAATCTCACATTAACTGCCCACACTGGGAATTAATGAACAGCATTTATGAAGCCTGACTTTTTAATCCAAAATGGCTGAATGGAGACAGGCAGGCTGAATGGTGTGAGATAAAAGTTGTAATCCAGACGCCTCAGGCATCTGGTTGGGTAATTAAAAAAAAGTTTGAAAAATCTATTAATAAACCTTTTAATTAAAAACTACATTTTTAATATCAGAAGACCTTTTCAATTGACATTTCTAACAGGATTGGGTTCTGGCCTAAAGCGCTTTCCATTGGAGTGTGGCTCCAACACAATACAACACATCGTAGAGAGAGCAGCTCGTCCTGGAGATTTTACTGCAATTGTGGTTGTATTGTACTGACGTCGGTAAACAGAATATTACAAAGGAGAACAAGTTCTGCCTGGAATATTATTTTTACTATCCATGTTGGCTCAAGGTAATCTACTGTATTATTCTTAGTCTAGAAATGATTCTATTTCAAACCTAATAATACAGCTAATGTTAAGAGCATTTCTATTACCCTTCTACTGGTCTTAATACTCACCTGTCTGAAGATATTAATAGATAGAGTAGTCCCTCCCAAGCTTCTTGATGCTACACATCTGGAATTAAGGGACTACAGTAGTTGGTATCAAAGCTGGGGACTGGGGTTTGGCCACTGTACTATCTAGTCTAACTGATATTGATAAAATGCAATTGTTTTGATAGACAAAACTACTTAAATGAGTTTGTACTTCAAATGTCACTGTATATTTTACATATTACAATATATACTGCATTGTCAAAGACAAATTGTTCGTTTATTTATTTATTTATTTTTTAAATAACAAGGTTTCTCTTCATAATCTTTCTCTGTAGAATTCTGTTGTCTATCCTTCACACCAGACCAAACCTCCTTCTTTTCCTTATCTAAAAACTCAAATTCAATAAATGTCCTTCCAGTATTGTGAAAGATTATAGAAAAAAACTAAATCAGAACTTGAGAGAAATTTGCAGTGGCTTTGTTACGAAATCTTTCATGATTGATGATCGAAAATGTAACAGAAACACCAACACTTGACGATGAAATGATAAAACTTGTTAAAGCTGTTCAGAGTCCGACGAGAAGCATTTATTGACGTTGTATACAATGAAAATGTGTCCCTTGCTTTTAACCAATCAATTCAATGGAAGGAATTTGTCCATTTGTCAACAGACCACAGCCAAGGAGAGACTCAAACCTTGGTTCTCTGACAACAAGCTCGATGCTAACAAAACAGTAAAGTTTCTCCAGTTCATTTGGTTTTTGACATTTCTAACATAAACATCCACTTCACACGGTTTTATATTCAAAAGCGGCGATCTTGGTCTTTTCCTCGGCCCTGGTAACAGTTACCTGACAAAGTTTTGCCAAGTTTACTTTTTCTACCGTATATGATCAGTGGGTGAGCTTCTGTGCTGCTAATTAATAGCTACTTCAACCAAAGTCTGGCGTTGCTTGTGGAGCGCCTCCTTCAACACACTACAGTCCATGAAATGACATCAGTACTTTTGCTTTATGTTCCATTCTGGTCCTACATTCTTTCTCTTTTCGCTCAGGGACAAAGGAATTGATTTGAATAGTAAACCACGTGTACCTTGAGAGTTTCAGGTGTCGAGTTCTGTGTATCACAACTTGTTTCCCGCCTCGACCATTTGTTTAATGCATCAAGGATGAAGGAGAGGGTGAACAAGAAGGAGAAGAAGTAGAAGAAGAGGTGCTTTTAGTTGTGAAACACCAAGGTAAGAGAGACAAAACACTTGTGGATGAGAATGGAAATGGGTCAGGACACATATAGACGCTCTGCTTCTGCTGGCTTCACTCTCGGTGTTACTATGGTAACGTACCCCATCTCCCTACCTACCTACCTACCTACCTGCCTGCCTGCCTTTAGCGCTCAAACTGCACACCCTCCCAACCGCCATGCTACAGGTTTTGCACCTGAACGCATCCTGTTTACAGCCAAGTGAAAACATATAAAGTTGTTGCAGTGTTTGATGTGTCTGCTGCCGCTGCTGTAAACCAACACAGTCATTTGCCTTTGCTTCTTTCTTTTTTTCTTTCTCTCTCATTCTGAGTTGAACATGTGTAGACATGACGATAGTTTGTGATATTTCAGAGCTGCTAGGAAGAGTTTGAGTATTATTTACAAAATAAATGAAAGAAGAATACACAAGTGATTGGCAGGCAGATGATGAAAGTTGCTAAAAATAGAGCAGGATTTCACTGTGAAATACAGACTGTAAGAAGCCACTGTATTCTGCTTAGTGAAACCACAGGACCATGTTGGTGTCTTAGGTCATATATGACTAAAACCGGACATTTGCTTTTATTCCCATTTCACAGGAAAAACACACAATCATTTAAAAGCACATTCATTCAGTGAGAAGGAAATGATTAAAGTCACAGATTTTGTTTCGTTTTATGCAAATACAAAACTATAAACTGACCCCAGCTCCCACCAGGCCGTCATCTATCCATCATCTGTTTTACCATGACTTTAA